AAAGAAAGAAAGAAAGAAAGAAAGAAAGAAAGAAAGAAAGAAAGAAAGAAAGAAAGAAAGAAAGAAAGAAAGAAAGAAAGAAAGAAAGAAAGAAAAAAAGAAAGAAAGAAAGAAAGAAAGAAAGAAGGAAGGAAGGAAGGAAGGAAGGAAGGAAGGAAGGAAGGAAGAAAGGGGGAAGGAAGAAAGAAAGAAAGAAAGGGGGAAGGAAGGAAAGAAGGAAGGAAGGAAGGAAGGAAGGAAAGAGAAAAAGAAAGAGACCCGAATTTGGATGCTTTCTTACCATGTGATGCCCTCTGCTATGTTATGAGGCAGCAAGAAAGCCCTTGCCAGGTGCCAACACCTTGATATGGAACCTCCCATCTTCCAGAGCTTTAAAAAAGAAATTTCTTTTCTTTACAAATCACCCAGTCTGTGGTTTTCTCTTATAGCAGAAAAAAATGGATTAAGACACTAACAGTATGAAAGAAATAAAAAATGTTAGTATTCTGGATTTCTTCCATATAAATAAGAGATAAGTTATCCTTTTGTGATGACTATTGAAATATGAAAGGGATGCTATGGGTACCAGTTGAGCAACAGGAGCAGTTAAACCAGATGAGAGCTGAAGCTGATTCTTGGTTCAAGACAAGGACTGATAAGAAAGTATAAGATGATGATATGCAGATTTGTTCAGTTGCAGTTCTGGGTACAACATCAAAAATTCCATCTTAATATGGAAAACTCTCTTAATTGGGACAATCTGCCAAGTAGACAAGGCCCAGTAGACAAGAATTTAGAATTATTTTCCCTAAATTTGGTAATGGTATCTATTACTTAGTAAACTGTCTTTTACAGCAGAAATTCTGCCGAGTGGCAAGACAGCAGGATTTATTTATGCAAAAACCTATGCAGAAGCTAAACCCAGGTTACTAGGTCAAAACACTCACTGCATGAGCTGTCTTTGATCCGGAAACTACACAGACAACTAGGATCCATCCTGTAGGGCAGATTTGGGAACAAGTCTATTAAGGTTCAAGTAAGCCAGTATCCTTGTATCTGGGCTACCATGTTCCAGGTTTATAAAGTGTTGTAATTCTAAGCCCATTTACTGGGCCAGGGCTTGGAAAGAAAAGGACTGTGGAATGCATGTCTGACCCATCAGCTGAGTGGATCCTAAGTTTCCAAAGACAGCTACCCAGTTTAAGAAGGTGAAAAAGTTGAGGTGGTGGAAGGAAGTTAAGAGCTGACAACAGCACAATGAAACTGGTATTCTCTGAATTTATGCCTCTCTGTTTTTTCAGGTAGGTAAACTACATTAAAATAATGTTTATCAGATAAATCAAAAGGATTCTTATAAGCAGATTCACTATTTGAAACTGCTTTTTTTATAGTTAGCTTATATTTGTTTCTATTTTCTAATATTACTAAT